CTCTCTCTCTCATTGACGAATGAGCAATTTTTTGAAACCAGAGCTTGATTTCACCTTCCTTCCTCTTTCTTTTTTTTCTTTTTTCTTTCTCTCGCTAAAGGTTTTCTTTTCTCTCGCGTCAATTTTGACTTGCCCGTCCACATGGCCAGGCAGCAACGTGATTCAGTGTTTGCAAAAGTTATCACGCAAGAGATAAATAAATTTGAAGAACTGCGCGAGAAGACTAGAAGTATCGTTTTCAAACTGTGCGTCGAATCGCACACGTAAACGATTCGAGAACTAAACGCGAGACAAGAATCTCATCGATGATTGACAAACATGTGCATTCAAATACAAATTTTAACTTGTACTTTAACACAACACGTTTCAATCTGCATCACGTTACTCTACGTTTATACTCGAATATGCTTCCCTCCCCCACGAATAGAGTCGCATCATTTTCTGAGAATCATCCGCAAGCTATCAAGAATACACACAGATGGTGGATGGTAAAATTAATATTGACTGCTGTGCTGAGCGTATTATCTGTTTCACATCATTATACTTTTCAAATAACTATTGCGCTCTCGTCGTTACAAATTTACAATGCAGCTCCGTTTATGCGAACTTCCGTCCGGAGACATATAGTTCACGTAATAGAGAATTCATCGATCCTCTCCTATGCTAGAATCATTCAGGCTCAAGAAAGTGGATCCAATCAACGAGAGAGAGTTCATTTATCGATTAAAATTTGATTGAAAAAAAGAAATCGGGTTCGTACAAACATTATCTTACACTAGATGCTAGTTATTCTAGTGTTAAACGATAACACAGAGTTACGATAAAAGTGCAAACTTTGATTACGGTCGGTTCTAAATGTTACGCACATATTTTCTATTTCACTTTTTTTCATCGTAAAATACACTCTCCACTTTCTAACTGTTAAAATTTCATTTACAATTTAGAATTACAAGCTACTGCCGTAATTATCAGCCATCACACGCCCAGACACGTTAGAAACTAATCTGAAAATTACAATAAACGAAACTGTTTTGATCGTTACGTGTTTGTCTCTAAACACTTTACCGACCGGCGATTCGTTCGGCAGAAAGGTTCGAAACAAAGGTTTCGGTCGGTGTAAATCGAGCGAGAAACGGAACGAATCGGCTCGCGGGAACAAGAGTGGGGAGGGCGAGATATATAACCGACCGGTGAAGAACGGATAGCATTAAAGTTACGAAAGTAATTACAGACGAATACTAGTTCTCGATTGTATCGAGCTTAGGGGATAAAG